CCAAACTACAAGTCCCATCATGCCCCTGCCTTTGGGACTCATGCTTGTAACTGTCAGAGGCATGATGGAACTTGTAGTTGGGTGTCAAACTGGTGGCCCTCCAGCTGTTGCCAGAGTCCCAAATGCAGAGGCATGATGGGACTTGTAGTTGGGTGTCAAACTGGTGGCCCTCCAGCTGTTGCCAAACTACAAGTCCCATGAGGCATGGCAAGATTGACAGTTACAAGCATGACTCCCAAAGGCAATCTTGCAATGCCCCATGGGACTTGTAGTTTGGCAAAAGCTGGAGGGCTGCCGGTTTGACACCCCTGTTTTAAAAGGGAGAAGGCACAGGGAAATGTGCGATGGACTATTGTTTTGGCCCAGACATACATTTACATGACAGTTTTGCTCAATTTTCCAAACCTTTCTGAATCCAGTTATACCGACTCGACTGCAGCACCCCCCCATTGTTGCCAGTGATGTTAGCATTTCTTCTACATTTGTTTTGTTCCTCCCCCCATCAGAAACTGGGAAAACACGCCACAAGCACATACATGTTTCAGTGCATTTAGTGTGAAGGAGCCTTAGAGCCCCGTCTCAGCTGCAGAAATGCAACAAACACGAGTCCAATTCATGACAGAAAACACATTTCTTCATCTGCATTCCTTATTTTGTACATCAGAACCAATCAGAGTGGAAGCCGGAAATGCTACAGACGGGCCAGCCATACGACAGACCGGCCAGCCATGGTACAGACCGGCCAGCCAAGCTACAGACCGGCCAGCCGAGCTACAGACCGGCCAGTCGAGCTACAGACCGGCCAGCCATGCTACAGACCGGCCAGCCATGCTACAGACGGGCCAGCCATGGTACAGACCGGCCAGCCATCTGCCCATTGAAACCAGACCAAGGCCCCCCCAATGTAAAATCCTTTCTGTATTCGGATACAATGAATACATCAGTGACCGCATCGGAAACACACATTCCTTCCATGTCACATGATAAATTAACATTTTCCACAAACTGATTTACAGAGGCCTATGCTATACCAAAAGTGACAAATGACAAAGGATGGGGGGAGGGGAGAGGGACGGCACTGCCAGGGGTGCTTACATCGATCAACCATTACTACATTAAAGTGAATGTGTGCTTCGCCCTGCACGCATTTATAGCTCCAGGGATCACCTCAATATCACAGAGGGGGGGGACTGTGGGAAAAACAAAAACTGCTGTGCTGATGCTAGTGGCAGGCATAGTTACACCCAGGCCTGGGTCACACTACAGTGATAGATTCTGTGGGTTGCACAGAATCACACGATAGAAATCACATTAAATTTCAGGGGTGTCTGTTCACACCAATGCGACAACTGCGAAGCAACTTTGGGGGAGGGTCTTGTATTAGATGCAGTGCGATATGTGCCCCATAGACTTCAATGGAAATGCATCATCTAGGCACGTTTTAGATGCAATTCCAGTGTGTACCCCCCCTCCCTGCTTTCTTCCAGAAATTGCAATAGTATGAAGAGCGCATCTAAAAAATCACTTGTAGGGACTTCCTCTCACTTCCTGTTTTTGGCTATTGGATAGGAAGTGAAGGGAAATCTCCCCCAATGGGACACACATGGCAAACAAAAAATAAACTGAAAGGGGTTATATATCCTACCCCCCCCCCCCCCTTTACTCTAAAGTGAAAAAATGCCTATAGTTCTACTTTAACCCCTAGATGCCCCTCTTGGCGTCTGGGTCTTGATGCTAAGTAGCCCCATATTTGTGTACCATTTGAAAATACGTATGTGCTGAGAGCGTGCGCCCTGCGTGCTCTCAGCACATATGTCCGTGACTCACGGAGAGGTCCCGATCTCCCCTTGCGATTGGGACCTTTTCTGATGACAGCGAATCACGGCGGTCATGTGACCCTAAAACCCCGCCTCGCGGCCTCTGAAACCTCTTAAAGGGCCGAGAGGCGCCGGTGCAAAAGGGTTAAGTTATCAGAATAAAAATGTTTTTTTTTTTTCTGACAGTAATCCTTCAAGGGAGATTTGCAGCTTTGATGGAAGTTGGCCATCTGCTTGGAATGCTTTGAAGTCATATCATCATCCCTGAAGGTCACCTATATACAGACAGATCCTTCCAGAATCATTCTGATAACGGACAGGACCGGCAGGTGCTGCTGCAAGAGAAATCTGTAAATGTCGGCCCCTGGCTTGAGTATCATATCCAGGACCTTCATCACTACACTACAGAGGGGGGACCTTCATCACTACAGAGGGGGACCTTCATCACTACAGAGGGGGACCTTCATCACTACAGAGGGGGACCTTCATCACTCAGAGGGGGACCTTCACACTACAGAGGGGGACTTCATCACTACTACCTTCATCACTAGAGGGGGACCTTCATCACTACAGAGGGGGACCTTCATCACTACAGAGGGGGACCTTCATCACTACAGAGGGGGACCTTCATCACTACAGAGGGGGACCTTCATCACTACAGAGGGGGACCTTCATCACTACAGAGGGGGACCTTCATCACTCATCACTACAGAGGGGTCCCAAGCAGATGGGACATCCAGTGAAAACAAGACACCAAGAGGGAGATTTACTAAAAACTGGAGCACTGAGAATCTGATGCAGCTGTGCACGGCAGCCAATCGGCTTCTAACCTCAGCTTGTTCAATTAACCTCTTCACGCCGGCCGCACAAAAATGTGTGGCCCCCGGTGTCTTGGCCGCACATTTGCACGCAACAAAAACAAATGCTGAGAGCGCGCGCCCTGCACGCTCCCAGCACACATGTCCGGTACGCACGGAAAGGTCCCGATCTCCTCTTTCGATCGGGACCTTTCCCGATCAGGTGACCGTCGTGACGGCAGTCACATGACCTTAAAACCTGCCCCGCCTCCCGGCGTCTGAAACCCTTAGGGCTCGTTCACACTTGGCTGTTTTACCAACGCTTGCCAAATGCCCTTATAGCGTTTGGAAAGCGTTGGTCCGGCGTTTGCGGAGCATTTTTTAACGCTCCGCAAACGCTGCATGCGCGGTTTAGCGGAGGTTGCTAGGCGTTTGCCGAGCGTTAAAAACGCCCCACAAACGCCTATAATGCAGTTTGAATGGTGTTACCGCTCCTCAAATGCCCCGCAACTGCACCGCAAACACCAGCCGAACGTTTGCGGAGCAGCACCATAGCCTAGAATAGGAGGCTTCAACGCCTCCTGACTCGCCCAGAGGCGTCCGTTTCGCCGCGACGCGATGCAAACGCTCCCGTTAGAACAGCACCATGTGCTGTAATGTGCAGAGGCGTTTGGGAAGCGGTAAAAAAACGCTTCCCAAACGCCTCTCTGCCACCTGCACGCAACGCTAGTGTGAACGTAGCCTTAAAGGGCTGGGGGGCGCCAGCGCCAAGTGGGTTCAGCTTTGACAAAACCTGGAAGCCGATTGGTTACTATGAAGAGCTGCACCAGATTCTGAGTGCTCCAGTTTTAATAAATCTCCCTCCAAATTTAAAGAACTGTTCGGGCAGACCAAAAATTCTCTCTGGCCCCACTACCTCTAAGCCCGGGTTCACACTACGGCGGTTGTGGAAATCCCATGTGATTTGCACAGGAACCTCACCGCATTCCTGTACAAATCACATGCGATACGATTGGAGCCGTACATTTACATTCTCTAATCACACCGCATTATAAAGGTGCAGGACCCTTTTTTGGTCTGCACTAGAATCGGATCGCATGGGGTATTCGCACCTATGTGATCCGATTCTGCACATCGCACCGCATTTTGCGGACCAATGTGAGGGTGTCGTTAACATACACACCCGCATCGGTCCGTGTGAGTGGGATGCGATGCGGAATTCTCACTGAAAAAGCTGCAAATTCTGCACCGCATCAGTGTGAACGAAGGCTAAATCAGGCAAAAAGGCAGAATTCAAATCATTAAGCCCGGGTTCACACTGGTGCAGTGCGAAATTAGCACCCCGTTCATGCAAACCACTGCGGGTGTGTACGTCAAGTCAACACTCCGAAATCGGTCAGCAAAACGCGGTGTGATGTGCAGAATCGGATTGAGATAGGTGTGAGTACCCATGCAATACGATTGTAGTGCGGACCCAAAAAACAGGGTCCTGCACCTTTTTGGTGCGATTTGAGCCATACAAAATGCATGACTTTAATCGCACCGCAGAGAAATCGCATGCGATTTGCACAGGACTGCGTGCGGTTCCTGTGCGAATCACGTGCAATATACCACACGTGTGAACCCAGCTTTAAACTGTAGGCCAAGTCAACACAAAAATCACGTCAGGTCTTTCCCCACATCACTGAAAATGTACACATTCCTCATTCCAGGAGGGAAAAAAAAAAAAAAAGAGAGAAGAAAAAAAAAAACAAAAAAAAAAAATTAAAAAAACTGAGAAATGATGCATAGCAAACATATGTACATAATATATACTTACAGAAAAAGGAAGTCAAATTTATTGAATGAAAAACTAGAAGTTAATAAAAATTAGCAATACACAGAAAATGTACACAATCAGCAGCAATTCTATATAGGTGACGTACAAATGAAGAACGCAGAATACCGCGCAGAATGGCTTCTCCGTTAGAGGGGAAGGGAAAGAAACACACGGCATTTCACTGTACAATCTACAAACACAAATTCATTCATGGGGTACTTTACGTTGTTTTTCCAATTTTTTTTTTTTTACTTTACTTTTAAATACAAAAAGATGCCCGGGTAAGGGGTCTATATTTTTTCAGTGGTTGATGTTTAAATATTAGTGTTTATGTCGGCTTTTTTTTTTTTTTTTTTTTTTAATTTTCTCTTTTTTGTTGTTTTACATGCATTTGCTTCCTGTATGTGTAATTACTGTCCATTGGCTGTGCCTCCATATCACCGTCCGTGGCGGCCAATAAAAGTCAAACTTTAAATGCAGTATGTGAAATATAAAGCCAAAAAAAAAAAAAAAAAAAAAGAAGTCTTTAAACACTGGCCCTGCAGATTTTGCGCTTTGCCATTTTTATTAACACATGGAGATTGTCACATTTATTCCTAAATTGCCATTTTCTGCGAAAAGTTGTGCAATGCTTGTGTCGAACACTAGGCAGTCGCTGTTCATGATGGCGGTTGCGATGCCCTCATGAATAGAGCGCGGAGTGGCTTCCCATGTTAGTCGCCGGCGGTGGCCGTTCAGCTCCAGCCTGTACGCAAAGTTCTCGGCTTGCTTGCGCGTTCCTATTAGCTGCACGATGGCAAAGAATTGTTGGTGGCCGTCGTACTTTTCTTGTTTCTCCAAGACCAACATGAAATGAAAGCCGAAACAGGACTGCATCATGACCCAGTCAACAGCACCCGGAAGGTTGATGTCCGTGGCAAGAAACACTATATCCTCCCCTTGTAATGTTGTGATGGATTTATGCTGGTGCATGAGGTGCGGCATCACCGCGTCCAGGGAACCTTGCCACTTACAAGATGCCCCCGGACAGGGACACGAATACGGTCGGAATTCACACAGCTCTTCGTGGTCCGCCTTCTCCGTGTGCGGCAATGTCACCTCACAACCCGAAGAAGCGTATTTGCAGGGGAAGAGGACAGAGTTCGCAACCTTTTCCATTGCCAAGTTGCGAATGGATCCCAAAGGGCCCCGGCAGGTTGGGCAACATGTGAGCTTCGGGCGACAGTTGCTACACACGAGATGTCCACTTTGACACTGGAGGATTGGTGGCAAGACATAGTCAAAGCACACGGGGCATTCAAAGAGGCTCGCCAGGTCATTGTTGGAAGCCGTTGTTCCTGTCAAAGCTGGCACCCGCTGAGAAGGGGGACACTTGGAGGTACCAGTTGGGATGGCTGCAGCGGTCTGACGGCTCATATCTGCAACAAAAACAAAAGGCAGTCAGCTTACAGAGGGGAAAAAAAAAAATGGAGTACTATGACCAAGCAAAATGATATGCCCATTATGAGAGGCTACAGGGAATCGGCAGCTGCAAATATCCGGTAAACAATGACTGGCAGCATCACCATTAGAGAGGCAAGACATGCTGGCAGAGCTGTCCATACAAGCAATGATTGGGGCCTGAAAGGACTTATAAATGAGTAATGTGCATGGGCTGGGTGGGAGCCAAATCTCTATAGGTAAGAACTGGCTGACGGCAAGAGGAAAGGAACTATTCAAAAGTCACATACAGCCCTCCAAAATACCATCATTTGTATCATTCAATGTACACTTAACCCCTCGCCCTCCAGAGGATTCCCCCCCCCCTTCCTGATCAGGCCATTTTTTGCGTTACGGCGCTGCGTTACTTTGACCCCCTCACGCCGGCACCTCCTGGCTCTTTAAGAGTTTCAGAAGGCGGGGTTTGGGGTCACGCCATCACATGATCAAAAAAGGTCCCGATCGAAAGAGGAAATCGGGACCTTTCCGTGAGTACCGGACGTGTGCTGGGAGCGTGCAGGGCGCGCGCTCTCGACACGTGTCCTTTTTTTAATAGAAAGCAATGTGCAGCCGCTCGGCATCTAGGCGCAGACGCCAGGAGGCCGCACATTTGCGTTCGGCCCGCGTGAAGAGGTTAACTGAAAATTGCGTGGTCATGCAACGCTGCACCCAAATGAAATCTACATCCTTTTCCCCACAAATTGAGCTTTCTTTCTAATTGCCTGTGTGATTGTTTTCTTTTGCTCTATAAAAAATAAAAAAAAAATAAAAAAAAAAGAATTTGGAGAAGAAAAAAAAATACTATTTTTGACTTTTTGCCATTGAACACGTCCAGTGAAAAATTAAAAAAAAAAAATTCATAAATTTATGGTAAAATGTATTCGCTCCGTGCCTTTGCTAAAAAAAAAAAAAAAATCTCAATACGTGTAAATTAATTGGTTTACGAAAACGTTATAGCGTTTACAAATGGCGGTATATATACACACAGGGATTTTTATTTTCTACTGGTAGTGGCGACGATCAGCAACTTATAGCGGGACTGAGGCGGACATTCTGACACTGGGGAGGGGACTGACTTGGTGTCACTGACATCCCCAGTGACACCAATACAGTGATCAGCGCTAAACAAAAAAAAAAAAAAAAGCACTGACACTAAAACTAATGGCACTGGGCAGGAAGAGGTTAACATGAGGGGTGATCAAAGGGTTAACTGTGTGCTGGGAGTGTTTTACTATGGGACAGGTTCTGTGTGCTTCACTGTAATCACACTGCATTGGACGGATCCAAAGCAGTGTGCCCAAGCTGATAGGGAGAACCAATAGTAAACAAAACAGTTCTCCGATAATCACTGGGCGCTGGTGAGTAATTACCGGCCGGACCCGGTGATTGACAGCCGTGAATGGCGACGCTGGTAGGACTTATGCGCACCCCATACCCGAAGATGGAAAATCACGAATATATACACACACACACACGTGACTTTGCGCACCCGTACCACCCTGTAGCAGTATTTCTGCTATCCAGCAGTCAGGAAACGGTTAAACATCAGTAGCCACCCATACATTGTACAAATATTAACCATTTAACGACTGCCCACCCACAATGTACTGCAGACAGGCAGCCACTGTAGGCAAAGCAAACTACCTGTACGCTGCTGCCTACGTCTGGGTTTCAGGCACGTGCATGCTTGTGCACAGCAGGAGCCTGTCAGCAAGTCCCGACCAATGATTCAAGGCCAGAATCTGCAGTATCCAATCACAGCCCAGATCTCTGTGTTGACAATCAACACAGAGCTCTGTACAGAGGGAACTGTTTCTCATCCCTGAGATGAGAAAATTAGAGCTCACTGATAAAAAGCAGCACACTACACATAGTAAACAAAGTTAGGCACATGTTTAACCCATTGATCGCTCTAGATGTTAACCCTTACGCAGCCAGTGCCATTAGTACAGTGAGTGTATAGTAGTATCACTGATCACTGTGTTAGTGTTACTGCTGATGTCAGTGGTAGTTAGTCAGCCCTCCCCACCAACCAGTGGCAGATGGCCCGCCGCACTACTGCAGTCCCATTATAAGTCGCTGCTCACCATCATTCACATAAAAAAATAAAATAAAATGACAATTCCAGTATATATACCAGTTTGTTGACGCTATAACTTTCACACAAACCAATCAATACACACTTAGTGGGATTTTTTTTTTTTTTTTTTAATCAAAGCTATGTAGCAGAATACATTTTGGCCAAAATTTATGAATTTTTTTTATTGGATGTTTTATAGCAGAAATTAAAAAATATTGTTTTTTCCCAAAATTTTTCATCTTTTTTCATTAGCAAAAAATAAAAAAAACGAATGGTGATCAAATACCCCCAAAGGAAAGCTCTATTTGCATGAAAAAAAATTATATATATTTCATTTGGGTAGTGTTGCATCAATTTTCCAGTTAAAGTAGTGCAGTGCAATGCAATATAGCAAAAAAATGCTCTGGTCACCTTCCGGGGGTCAAAAACATCCTGCTGATAATTATCAAATTCTTACTAGAAACACCAAACTGGACAAATATTTTGCTGGAAGTATGAAGAAACTTTCTCAGAGCTTGCAATATTTGGAAAATTAGATGGATGTAGAAACGGTCTCCCCCAAGCTACAAGGCTCCACCCTGACGGTTCTTAAAGCTGAACATTCGAGCAACACACAAAAAAAAAAAAAAAAAAAAAAAAAAAAAGGCAATTTAATTCATTTTTATAATGTAAAGCAAATCCCCCATCCATGTCTCTTTTAGTCCTCTTGCACACGTTTTTTTTCTACAGACAGTAAACCCCCCAGCATGTTATCCTATGTGTCCGTACACACAGACTGGAATCAATGTGTTTTGGCTGGAAAAAAAAAAAAAAAAAAAAAAAAAAAAAAAAACTAGGAGTTGTTTTTCTAGGTGTAAAAACACTCCAACGCAGCAAAATTGCAGCAAACCAGTATTTTTGGACTTTTTTTGGTCAAAACACACAAAAAAACTCCACTAAGTGCTAAAGAAAAATGCTAAAAACTGCTGAAAAACTTAAGTTTTTAACGTGACTTTACACGGCTAACGTTACCAGCGTTATTAAAACGCCCCGTGTGCATGGAGCATTATTTTGCTAAGAAATCACTTTGAAAAACCCCCCCTAGTATTTGTCAGTGGCATTCTTGAGTAATGCAGGCCATACATGGTTCGAATTCCGAACGATTTTTCATCTCGAAAATCGAAAATGCCATTCGCTCGGTAATCCGATGGTGCCATCAATGATTTAAATTAAAAAAAATAAAAATTCGGCCGACCAAGTCAAAGTTCCCCCCATATAACAGGCGAAACTTCTGTTCCTTCCAGGTAATGGCTCATGCGCATATTCTTTTCGGAAAAACCATCGTACAATTTGACCATCGAGTTGAAAATCCGTCCCTTTTCACAAATTTTCTAACATGCCCGATCACCGAAAAGGGGAGGAACCATGAAAATCGGCCGATGCCATTGACCCCCACTAACAGAGCGAAAATCAGCCAGTGCCGTTGACCCCACTAACAGAGCGAAAATCAGCCAGTGCCGTTGACCCCACTAACAGAGCGAAAATCAGCCAGTGCCGTTGACCCCACTAACAGAGCGAAAATCGGCCGGTGCCATTGACCCAGTAAGAGCGAAAATCGGCCGGTGCCATTGACCCACTAACAGAGCGAAAATCGGCCGGTGCCATTGACCCACTAACATAGCGAAAATCGGCCGGTGCCATTGACCCACTAACAGAGCGAAAATCGGCCGGTGCCATTGACCCACTAACAGAGCGAAAATCGGCCGGTGCCATTGACCCAATAACAGAGCGAAAATCGGCCGGTTGGTGCCATTGACCCACTAACAGAGCGAAAATCGGCCGGTGCCATTGACCCACTAACAGAGCGAAAATCGGCCGGTGGTGCCATTGACCCAGTAAGAGCGAAAATCGGCCGGTGCCATTGACCCAGTAAGAGCGAAAATCGGCGGTGCCATTGACCCAGTAAGAGCGAAAATCGGCCGGTGCCATTGACCCAGTAGGAGCGAAAATCGGCCGGTGCCATTGACCCAGTAAGAGCGAAAATCGGCCGGTGCCATTGACCCAGTAAGAGCGAAAATCGGCCGGTGCCATTGACCCACATTAACAGAGCGAAAATCGGCCAGTGCCATTGACCCACTAACAGAGCGAAAATCGGCCAGGTGCCATTGACCCACTAACAGAGCGAAAATCGGCCGGTGCCATTGACCCCACTAACAGAGCGAAAAGGTGCCATTGACCCACTAACAGAGCGAAAATCGGCCGGTGCCATTGACCCCACTAACAGAGCGAAAATCGGCCGGTGCCATTGACCCACTAACAGAGTGAAAATCAACCAGCGCCATTGACCCAGTAAGAGTGAAATTCGGCCCATTATTCTTAGGTCCGATTTTTGGCCGAAAAATCGTGTCAAATTTCGACCCATGTATAGCCAGCCTAAGGGCAGATGATTCATGTAGCATTTTCTTCCTGGAATCCATCTGTCATTAGCTCAGGCAAGGAGGGTGTGCTTAGCTAAGAAAGCCCCTCCTCCCCTCCTGAGATGTGACAACATTTGCCTAGGCATGGAAACCAGGATGTAACTGAAATGTATAAAAAAACCAAGTAAACATAATATTCCTATCCATGTACTAATGCCAGCAGCAAAGGATTAAAGAGAGTCAATGCTGTTTGAGAGAAGAGTGACGTTCCGGATTAAGAACTACAAAAAGCATCTGTAGTCAATCACTGGAGCACTGAACTGTGACCTTCAACAATGCAGAATGCCACAAATACCAACAGCCACTAGTAAAAATGGGAGTGTGCAGCACGTCAATGCAATACTCATCACTAGACCAACGCAGTCTGCAGAGGCCAGCAACGATCACACAAGAGAGATGGG